ATTTTTAACTAAATCGAGTTTATTTGGCGTTAGTGACGTGACGAATTCGTTAGCGACGTGACACAGTACGACTGCGCAACAGAGAAGGTGCTCTTGTAGTTGATTGAAAAGTTTGAAATCGACTTCAAACGTTACAAATTATTATTCACAGCCCATAGATGATGAAAAGACAAAATTTTTCCTTTTTGCACTGTTTAGGGTCTCTAGAAAACCGGTTTTTCGGAAGAAATGTTTTGGAGTCCAATTTTGCTGAAAATTTTACCATAGATGCAGCTCGTGTCCTAGAGCCTATTCTGAAGTTTTCAGATTTTTTTCTCATCTGGTTCATGAGATATTCACTAATTACTTTTTAATTAATTAATTAATTAATTTTAATTAATCACCATGTGAAAGACCAAGCATTTTCACATAAGTCTACGCTAAAAGAATTTATCCAAAAGATTCACTCTTAGAAGAATTAAACTCAAATGAAACGTGTAAATGTCCCGTTTTGCCTGATTTAGCCGATATATATTTTAGCTATAGTCTTGTGTCACTTAAAAATTATTCATGACAAAGTCTTAAACATCTAGAAAATTTTCACCTGAAGTATATCAATCAAATAAGGGAGACGAAAATAATGAGTAGATAGAAGAAGATTTCTAGGGTAAAATCAACTCGCTGTTAAAAATATTAGCAAAGAAATCGATAAAATCAATTCTGGTATATATCATCGATGTAGTATTGATTATTTTAAGTCTATTGTATAAATTACAAACCTATAAACTCGATAGAAATATTCGATGTAAACTTTTAGATTATCCAACATCTATTGATTACTGTTGTAAATAAAAGTAAACTATTTGACAGCAATAATGATAGATATAGAACACATTTAGATGTTGATAATGGTAGCATATGAGACTATATATTAACGTATTCGAGGGTTGTGTAGTCAGCTACCTTCTCGTATAGTCTTAATTTGATTCTAATTGCTTATTCTTGAGCGACCATTACATTAATGTAATGAAAACTTTTTAAACTAAATGTATATGAAAAAAAAAAGCATGATTCTCTTCTATATAACCTCGATTTTCTACGTTTGTGTTAGAAAAATTTCTAATTGAGAAAAAGTTGCATCAGCATTATTCACAGTAAAGACAAGACTTTCATCAACTCTGGCAATAATTGTAATTGCAAATAGTTTTTATTCATTATATAAATGCGTCAATAAAAGGCATGCAGCGAAAATATTTTCCTCTTCGACTATATATACTTTGCAGTGTTCACACTTGTCATGCCATTCTTAGTATGTAAGATCCCTATTTTAAGAATGCAAGTTGCTCAATGTTTTGCTTCATGATAAAAACTAAGTTTTCGATGAATTCTAATTTCGATTGATCAATATTATTCTATTAGATCTTGGTAGACTTCTCTTGAATAATAAAAATAGATTCAATAGAATCCTAATAATTGATCAATCAAAGAATTTCATAATGCAACAATATGAAAAATTTATGTGGCATACATATTCTTGATAACTTCAGTCTATTTTTTGTGAAGCATATTCCAGAAGGAGTGTTGAAGTATATAGAGTAGAAATTTGGATCCTCTCTCGCAGAGACCGTATATTAGTAATGGCTTGTTACAACATGGAGCATACTTTCGTATTGCATTGCTCAAAGACTTAGTAAAAGGCGAGTGAACAAATGTGTCCCAAGAGATGTAGAATAAAACAATCCCCTTCTTATTAGCTATAGCGGTTTGTGTTTTACATTTTAATCTAGCAGAAATTAGGCTGATAACTTTCTACGAAACAAAGCGACATTTTTTTACCGATTTGTAGATAAATGGAAGTTTTTTGTAGGACTTAAACTTTATCTTTCTGTTCTTTATTTATAATATTTATGACCAATCTAATATTTGTAAACTATTTGTATTATTCTTAATGACAATTTAATTCTTGCTGAGACGATCGTCTATCCTTCATTTTCGTTATTCATGAAATAGTCGCATTATTAAAGATTCTTTTATACAATGCTATTTTATTTGAATGAGGTTGACGTCAAAACTTTTTATTTCTTTCACCTATTCTATGTTAGATGAAATTACTTAGCAAAAGAAAAAAAAAGCGAGCGAGTTATTGTTAGTTACGCTTCTTTTAGTTTTATGCGACATAAAAAAAAAACTCATTCTTTACATTTCTATTTTACCGTTCTCTTTTTCTCTTCTTATGTCTGATTTTCGTTGAATAACAGTTATAACAAGAAACCAACCAAACGACGATGCTTACATCAGGCGGCAACAAATGAACATGAGGCCTACAAATCATTATTCGCCAAAGGTACCTGCCAAATCAATTGAATCATCACCAAAAACTGATCATTATGATCATTTGGAAACTATATGGCGTATTATTCTTGATATTATTAGCCTTGCAATATGTAAAGTCTATATATTCTCATAAAAAGTAAAATAATAATAATTCTACTTTAGTGCTCGCTATAACGGTTATATCACATTATATTGCTACACCATTCGCACGTGGTTTCTTTTGTTCGGATACATCAATAAAATATCCATATAAAGACAACACTATACCAACGTATGCTGCAGTTATTCTTTCAATTGGCCTTCCAGTTGTTTGGGTAATATAAATAAATATGTCTAAAAAACGACAACAAAATTTTGAATATTATTTTAATTTAGATGTGGACCACAGAACTTTGTAAATTATGCTATTTTAAACAGTACCCCAAAACACCGTTTCAAATTCGTTTGTTATTATCTGGAAAGCGATCAATAAACATTCCGCCAATCGTTCGTAATTTATACATTCTTACTGGTATTTAGGAATTTCAGTGCTTGTTTTTCTTGATTCCTTCCTTTTTTTTTCACATCAGTGATATTTGCTTATGGTTATCTTGCAACATGGGTATTAACTGAAATAGCAAAAAATTTTGTTGGCGAATTACGACCACATTTTCTTGCTGTATGTCAACCATCTCTTGATTGTTCGACTCAAACATTATTATACCAATTTCATTCTTATCAACAATATGGAAGTAATTATACATGTCAAAATACAGATGATGCAAGTGTACGAGAAGCACGGTGTGTTTGTATATAATAACAAAGAAATAGCACTCATGTTATGTTTATGTTTTTTTTTAGTCGATCTTTCTTTAGTGGACATACTGCACCACTTTTTTGTAAGATTTATTTTTATAAAAAAAAAAAAAAGGTAATTTTTTATTATGCATTTATAATAGTTGGCTTTGTTTGGTTAATTATGTATATTCATATATCATGGTCTTGGCGTCATCTTGGCATCCTTGGTCATTTATTTCAAGTCGGTATTGCTATCCTTGGATGTTATGTTGGTAAGTAAAAAGAAAAAGGTTGTGTTTTGTTTTGTTTTCTTAAATTATATTTTAATAGGATATACACGTATAAGTGATTTTCATCACCATTGGCAAGATGTATTTGTTGGTAGTGTAGTTGGATCATTAATTGCTTTTGCAACATTTAAATTTATTCTTAATTGGCGTCATTATAGTCCAAATTTTTTACCTTATGTAGTCGCTGATAATCAAGAGAAATCAACAGTCCAACGAAATCAACAAATGTCAATAAATAATCATGCTTATCGTCAAGGTTCAGGTCCGAGTGATTGGGAACATGCAAACCAATAAACATTTCATATATTCTCACTTATTTTATTTTGAAATAAAAATAAATATTGTACTAAAAGAAATCTTTTCAGTCATTTATAGATTTGATTTCATTTTGAATAAAATTTATATTCGAAGTGGCAGAAAGTGATTCAGATATCGCATTTGACTCAGCACAACAACCTGAACGAGTTCCTTTATATCGTTATCGAAAACCATCAAAAGGAGAAATACAAAAAATGACTACTCAATCATCACGTCAAGAGAAATACGACAATGATTCATCCGAAACCAAATGTCTTCCAACGCCGGACGTAACGATGCAAAGGTATTTTTTTTCTCCACTTTTTTTATACAGGAAGAACAGAATAAAAAAAAAGAGAATGCCATCGAAGAAGTAACTAGATGTTAACCCGTTCTGTCATTAACAATAAAAAAAAATGAGTCGTGATGCACTAAAGCAAGGAGGTTCGACTATTTCTTACAGTTCCATGGAGATGTCGTCGGCAGATATTCAAAGGTTTTTTTTTTCTTTCTATTCTTAAAAATATTTATTTATCTTAAATAAGAACTCATGTTTTTTTTATGAATTCTAGTAATCAAAAAATATTGCAGCCAGTTTCATTATTAAAAGTGGTCTTCGATGGTCTTGCACTCATAATCGGTATGAATCATATTTATTTCATATAAATATTAGGTGTCTTTTTTTAACTAGTACTTTTTACATGGTTATTATTTAAATATCTTGTTAAACCAGTTCGACGAGCATTTTTATGTTCAGATTTAAATTTATATCATCCACCACCAGAAAAAAAAGTTTTTCCAACTTGGCTTTTATTTACTTGTGCTATCGCAATACCATTAGTGATTGTATGTTAAATTACTTTCAATGATATTAATCAGATTTTTATATTGTTTTGTTTGCTATTTAGATTTTACTCTCGGAATGTATTCGTTGGTTTTATTTACATCGTCGAAAAGTAACTAAAGTAGTTTATGAACTTCAAATTCGTTCAAATATTTATAAAATTCCTGAATGGGTGGGAAATCTTTATATTATCGTTGGTATATTATCATTATTTATTAAAGGACACCGCCGGATAAGGTCATAAATCTGCCACCCCCATAGATCTCATCTTCAATAAAATAGAAAGATAGAGCATGAAATTCTGCACATTTCTGTCTATTTATTTTGATTTTTGCTGAATGCAAAAAAACAATTTCATGGACCAAATAGTCTGGGGGGTCTATCGCTTTTGGACATTTCGAATAATAAGTACGGTATNGGTAATACAGTCCTGGAAGAGAAAAAGAATGGTATTGAACTACAGGACGTATGATATATTTCATGTCAAAAAAATCCCTATTTGGTCAACAAAATAACCCTTAATTGGTTGAGTATCCCCAAATGTGGAAACTTTTTAGGGAGTGATTTAGGGAACCACAATTTGTGGCAAATGATAAACATTCCCAATAATATTTGTGTTGACATCAAGGAGTCAGGAACTACGATTTTTCAGTAAAATATCTGCTCTTTTATGCAAAGAATGAGCATAGAAATAACTTATATTGTATGTTAAAATAGCAAGAAGATAAATATACATTTATTAATTATATCTATACAAAATAAGTGTAATAATATTATTGATATCGATTTAAAAATGTTATCATTCAAATTTAAGTGAATAGAAGTTAAACTATAGTTCTATGTTGACTCGTAGTAAAATTCTTTTAGCATAATATCAAAAATCAATATTCTAAATTTGTCTTTATCTACATTGCAGCATAAAACAATTCAACAAATCTACGATATAATTAGTTATCGTAGTCATCATACATCACCTATAGATCAATTACATTATATTAAAAAGATATGTGAAGATAGATTAAGGTTTGTTTTTAGTTCATAATTATTTAATAGAAAAAGAAAATTAAATTTAATGATAGAGATGACATATCATCAGAAGATGAAGATGAAGATGAACTTGATAGTCGTAATTGTACAATTGATGATGATCAAAATGAAAGTGTTATAATGCATCCACGTGTTGTTCTTCCTCAATCATCAACTAAAAAACGTTTGTTAAATCATGATGAAAATGATTTAGAAAAAATGATTTCACCACCCAAACGTTTTCGATATGAAGATTCAAAAAAAATAGTAAGAAATTAATTTCTTCTTTTTGTTTTGTTTCTCTCTCTATATATATATATACATTTTTAATAGATTAATTCTCCATCACAACGTATTATTGCTCAAACAACATTTGAATGCTATACATCAGAAAATATTACTCGACCATTTACTGTTTCAACTGATATTAAAATGATTGATAATTCATGTAATGAACAACAAAGTTGTTCGACAATTAGTAAGATTCTTCTTTTTTTTTTTTATAAACAAAACAAAAATAATTTGTTTTTTTTTCTTTCTAGATAGTGATCATACATTATCATCATCAACATTAAGCAGTACAAAAACAGCATCATCTTCATCAATTGAACAAACATTACCAATGACATCAACGAAAATATCTACTCTGGTACATCGTTTTATATCAAGAAAAATTTTCAAACCAGAAACTTGTTTTGTGGTAAAATTATTTTATTTATTAAATAAAATTGTTTAATAAAATCTTCTATTTGTTAGTGTCTTAAACGAATCAATTTTGGTTCGGTATCATATCGTTGTTCATATTGTTCACAATCATGTCATGTTAATTGTAAAGAAAATGCAGGTTCAAATTGTAAAACATTGTCAAATAATGCTATGTTACCACCATATTCACCCAAAACTCCAACAATTTCAACTTTAAACAATACTTATCGACAACGAATGGTTAATTCAGAACCTCGAAAAGCAACTATATCAACAACACATACATCAACTATTCAACGACGTTTACCATTCGAACGCATGATGTCACATAAAAACAATAATGGAAATAATAGCAAATATTTTTCTCCTATTTAATTATTCAAATGAAAGATTTTCTTAACTCTTCATGCACGCACAATCTGCTTTGATGGATTAATGTTTATTTTCTTTGTTATAACATACATATATATATATATATATATCTGATATGATTCGTGCGTCGTAGAATGAATAAATAAGTGAACTTTTCTTGTAAGATATGCTTAATAAAATATAAATTGTCAGATATTTGGTTAATAAATAATATTATAAATTTATTAGAGTTTAATATATCAAAGATTTGCTTCGTCTATAGCTAAAAATTCTTGTTGTTTATCATATGTATTAAGATGATGTATTGAAACTAAGATTGTTATCAAGAGTAGAGAGAATGATTATTCGTAGCCTCAAGAAATCAATTTAATAAAATTAGAGATTCTGAATATCGAATTTCACCAGTAACTTTTAGATACATTCCTCTCAATTTATCGATGATACGCTGAACGGAGTCTTGTTCTAAAGAGAACCTTCATGTTTCATTCAAATGGCGAATATCTTGGGTCCAGATTTTAAGCTTTTCACCGCCGATTTGTACAGGACAATGTCTCACATACAAGTCGACGAGCGCTATCAAAAGGTAAAAGACATTCCTCGATATAGCTCATAGTAATCTTGAAAAACGAAAAATGACAGTTTTTCTTTCATTGAATCAATTTTACAGAAAAGTAACTTTTCGGTCAATTCACCTACGAAAATGTTCTAAAACATTTCACGAGTTCCATCAGATGATGACAATCGTCTGTTTATAATATCCTTCGTTCTAAAAATAAAATCGTTTGTTTCTAGGATCAATTAGCCAATTTATGCAATATATCTTACGTCAAGTCGTCTACTAAAATGTTCCAAGAAGAACTCAACGAACATGAACATAGTGAAAATTGTATCTTAAGAGGGTGCCTATCTTAGAAATAAACTTTTTAATTTTCTATCCGGTTTCAACCCAAATTTCAGAGATTGTGAGTCGTGACTTGAATAAATTATGGGTAAAAGTCCTGCTCGAAATTTCAAGATAATCACAAGTTATAATCAATTCCCTAGACAAAAGTACTCTTTACGCAGGAAGGCCTTACAAAATGAGGATACAAGCTACCATGTCGGGATAGATTTTGGGTATGGGAGTAACTATGGGTGTGTTTGCAGGTGGAATCGTCGATTTGAATACGAGTTCATGAATGTGGATCAAAGAGGCGCATCTATTATTCTTACCGACACCATTCATACTCACTCCCACGTCCACATCCATACTTTTTGAATACCATGACAATTTAGCGCAGTTGTTTAATTCTCGAAGCAATACTTGTTATATAATCCATTCACATTTGTAGGCAAAGATGAAACTAAAACCGTGATAAAATTTTGTTGAGAATCAAGCACTTCTTTTAATTCTAACAATGGAAGGGTGTGACCTGTTGAGCGAAAACCTTAGACATATTCGGGTCAAAAGAAAGCTTTCAACGAGAAACTAACAAATTTAAAATATGAGCTGCGTATGGCGTTCCTAGACAAAGATCCTTGAATCTCAAGATCTGTGAAATTTAGGTATAAAAATGAATCAAGAAAGGTTTTCTCCACTATTATAAGGACNTCTTATGTGAATTATGATATTAATTGAGGTAATACTGATCTTTGCTGTTGATTATCAAAGTTCTTATATGAATTGATAAATTTCATTGCTTTTTTAAGTTGAATTAGATAATTACTATGACTTTTTTCAAAGCAGATTTCATATGAGAAATAGATAGTGCACTTTAAAAGACACTAATCGACGATCTTGCCTCGTTCTTTCCAGATTCTTGTTTTTCTTGATTTTCAGGCAAGATTCTTTTTCTATTCCTTCTATACAAGATTCTTGCCTGAAAAAACTGACCTTGCCTTTCTGACAAGATTCATGTAGACCGAATCTTGGCTGGCGAGGCAAGAAGTGCCTCGCCAGGCAAGATTCTTGTGTTCTTGCCTTCTTGTCTGATTCTTGTTTTCCTTGAATTCTTATCTGATTCTTATTTTTCTTGACATTCTTGTCTGATTCTTTTTTCTTGAGATTTTTGTCTGATTCTTATATCTCTGGCGTCTTGTCTGATTCTTGGCATATTAATAAAGCTTTTATAGGTTATTATTACTACCTTTTTCTTACTATTTTATTATAAGGTTTCCATAAAATATACAAAAACAAAAGCAACAAAACTTAGTCAACTTCATATGAATTTATACTAGTTTCACAATTGTAAATACAAAAAAAACGACACATTTCATCATTTCATGAAGATGAAACAAATGTAATGTACTTATTTTTTCATAGTTCATCATCTTCATTCGAATTTTCATGTGAACCTGAAATATTTTCAATTGTTGTTGAAGTTCTTTTTGTTGATTGTATTATTGGTGATGCAGTTTGTCCATGCTTTTTCACATCGTGCTTCATTTGTTGTAAAGAATTCTTTACTGATTGACTATCAGCAAAAACAGTTGCAGCATTAAGCCCGTGAACGTAAGCAATATGACCTAATAGTAGAAATGTCAAATATTACAAAAAGATCGATTTCTAAAATTTGTCTCACCCAATAAAATATCAAATTCTCCTGGAGCTAAATCGTTATATGATGCCATTTCACCATATGCAGCACGAACTAAAGCTCTAGCTGTTGTATTTAATGAAGCACCACGTGGAACATGAGTTACATCAATTCCATTTAGCATCTAGAAACAAAAAAGATTTTATAATGAATACTTTGCAATTTGTAAGATTTGTTATCCTCTTTGTAAAACATAACCAACAACAATTGAGGATGCTCTGACTTCTAATTTATTCACTTACGATTGAGACATTTTCAATATCATTCTGTTGTCGTGTTTGTAATACTTTTGCTTGCTAAAAGAATAAGAAAAATATTTAGGATTTATTAAATTCATATTTGTCTTTACCATGTGTACAGTATGAGATAATTGTTGAGTTATTTTTTGTAATTCACGTGGAGAATTAACCAATTCACGTATTAAACTTGTGTGTTCTGTTCCCATTTTCAATAATTCTTTTATTAATTGATTTGTTTCTTCACATACTGTCACGATCGATTTGATTGTTTGGTTGAATCCTGAAACTTAAATAAGATTTATATTGATGCAAAAAAATCCTGATTATTATATCAATAACCATTTTGTGATGTTTCTGAAATAGACTTTGTCGCAGCTGTTGCAGTTTTTGAAGTAGATGCAGTTGTGCCTCCAGCAACATTTCCTGTAGTTTTAAATTAATAAAGAAACTTTTCATGAATAAACTATAAGTATAAGCTCACTCATTAATGATGCTGCTGTACTTTGAAGAGTTGGATCGAATCGTCTTCGAAGAGGTGGAGCTGTTAACGGTGCATTGAATGAACTAGCAAGTGCTCGACGTCGTTTAGCCGGCGATCCTTCAAGTGCAACTTTTCTAATTTAAAAAAAAACTACGTTTCCACTCACCTGCTAAAGTAACAAGTGGTGCACAATTATTTTCATTGCTTGTAGCTGAATGAAGTACTGGAGGTAATGATTTGTTAGAAGTCTGATGATTTTCGAATGTAGGATCACGTTCACGAGATGGTAATGGATCACCTAAAAATAAAAACACATTTATATTACTGATTTTAAAAGACATAAGTCTCCAGACTTATCTATCATGGATAGTACAAGTGGAACAGTTAACTTACGATGACTAATGTAAATTGTTGATTGTGAAATTGGTGGAAAAGGTACAGGTTGTAAATCACAATATGATGGACCTGAATATTCTTGTGATAATTGTCGTTCTTCACCTTCGTCGTTGTTGTTTACTGAAGAATAATTATACATAATGATATAAATCTGAAAAGAAAAGAACCAAATATTAAGTATACAGAAAAAGATCTTTAAATAATATTTTTTACAAGAAAAATAAAATACCACTATGTTAGTTTTGGTCTGAATCGTAAAATATTTCAGATAATAGCATCTGATCTAGCATTTGTATCGCGATACATTTGTACAGAACCGAAGAAAAAGGAATAGAAATGAACTTTGTATTAGAAAGATCACATTTTTTATAATATTTGTCGAGAAATTTAGTCACAATAGGAGAAAATGACCAGTTTTTTACATAATTATTTGAAGAAAAATAATTTTCAACAATGTCGTATACATTTAAGAAGGCATAAGAAATATCGAATAATCTATAAAAAAAAATTACTTGTCCAAAAGACTTATTATTTTTATCATCATAAAATGATACTATAAAACTTTGTGTATTACCACGTCGTCTATAAGATAATGAATGATATTCACAAATTCCTCTAGATGCGCGACAAAAAAAACGCAAATTTGGATCATCTGTTGAAGTAATAACGCTTTTTACTGAATCAAAAAATTGCGATTTATAATTCGAAATATATTCTCTATCTAGATAGTTATCAATAATCAGTTTCTCATCAAGAAAAATATTACTGATAGACAATGTTTCTTTTTTAAATGTGCAGCGAAACTTCTCGAGTGAACTGCAAATTCGATGAGCAATCAATCTATTACCTGAACGTAGAGATCGAAGAAAACGTATAAAACTTTCATTAGGAAAACAATTATGAAAACATAAAGCACCATTATTGATTACCTTTTCTACTAAATGTAAATGCGCATGTAATGAATATAAATAGAATGTTTTACCGTAAATACGTTGTGCATGTTCACAATACATTTTAATCAATGGTTCGACTTCCATAACTTCCTGAAAGTTATGGTAGAAATATAATGTACGAAGACATACAAAATATAAGGAAAAATGAGAAGAAATATCAACAGGAAAGAAAGAAAATACAAATGGAAACATGACATAAAGAAAAAAAGAACGATAATCGTGAGCTTTCCAATAAGTTCTATCTGACAATGACCTTAACTCAACATTGAAATTGTGAGGCCATTTTATTTTCTTTAGGAAATCATTACCTGATAACCAACTTTGTTTAACAATCATTTTTTCCCATTTACCTAATAAGAAACCACAGTGTCCAATGAAACATAAATGCATTACATCAAGATCAATTTGAGTTGGAATGTCCATAATCTTCCTCAGTGGGCTAACACCTTTTACACCATAACAGTTACCACTACATAATTGTTGATTAACTTGTTCAGCACAAAAATCAAAATGTGATGATGAACGACGATTCATTTGATTTGGAATATATGGATACATAACGACTCGACTTTCTTCACACCAAACTCCTTCCTGATCACATTCAAGACAGGAATAATATGCGTTGTGATTCACATGTTTAGTTGCTAAAGCACGAGCAGGTAAATCAGCTTTAAATAGTAATACATCTACTAAAAATTTAATATTATCAACAATAACAGTTTGTTTAATTGTATCACAAATTTCTTTTAATAATGAATCTGCATCTGGTTTTATTGAGCCATTCCTAAAATGAAAAACAACAATATCAACATTAATATTTATTTCAGCATATTCGTTAGAAAAACGACGAAATATATGCTTAAAATGTAAAAAGAAATTTGGTTCTTATTCTCCACACAATAATTTTTTTATTCACTATTGAAAATTATTCTTGTAAACAATGTTATGCTTAAAATATTAGAGAAGGATAATTTTAAAAAAATTCTACATACCACAAAGACAATAACAACATATTCAGCTGGTTTTCTCGAAGTGGTGGTGGAATTTCAGCTATTGATCCTGTTACTAACCATGTGTGCTTTTTTGTCCAATGAATCAATGGAAAGCCATCGATATGAATCATTAATGTAATGGGATATGTATCATTTAATGCTTTAAGATTTTTTCTTTTCTGCTGGTAAATTGATCCTGTAATAATATCACCTGGTAGTAAGTTATTAGCAAGTTGTGGATAATTCAATATTAAATTCTTATTCCGTCGGATAATTTCAATTAACTGTCCATATGAACGATTAACTGTTATATGTTCTATGACATCACCTATTCGTCGTTGACAATTGTTTTGCCCACAAATAATAGAACAAGAATTGGTTCGATCAATTGTTGCTAAACAATACCTGCATTTAAGTGCTTCATTAAATGTTGATGTTGTTTCAAAAATAGTTAGTATTTTTTTATATGATTTTAATAATTTATTTTCTATTGGTAATGCGTTTCCGATCAAATTCAATAATTTATTCATATTCGATTCACTTAATTTAACTGAAGCTCCAAATTCCAGGATCTGTTTATGATAAGATTTAAATGTAACAGGTGCGCCAGTGTATAACGGTTCATCTGCTTCTTGTTCAGCAAATGGTTCTAAAGTAAAGAAAAAAATGTTTGACTTAATCAGATATCATCTCGAAATTCGTCTTAATGATAAGAATCTAAGAATGATTTATTTGTAATACTTGAAAAAAACTTGCTTCAATCATAATAAGTCATTTCGCAAAATTGACGAAAATTTATTAAAAAAAAAGACTCTGTCCAAAAGTAAAAAATAAAATACTGTATCTTACCAGTTGATTGAACCAAATTCAAATTCAAATTAAAACTGTAATTATAATCATCATCATGAAGTATATAATTATCAACAAGTGTATTATTAACAAGTGTATCATCATCAAGTGTACCATCAGCATGTGTATCATCATCAAATGCACCATCAGCATGTGTATCATCATCAAATGTATCATCAAGATGTGTATCATCATCAAGTATACCATCAAGATGTATATTATCATCTAATGTACCACCAGCACTTGTACCATTAGCATTTGTATCATCCATAAGTATATCATGAACAAGTATATTATCATTAAAAACTGGATCATTAACAGCAACATCATCTTCAAAATCTTCATTAATTTTGGATAAATATTGATTTGATTCTTTCTAGAAAATAAAAACGAACAGTGAAAAATTTTTACTTCGAAATGGCTCAGTTAAAATAAGTCATTTACAATTTGTTCAGTCAATAAACGAGACAAAGATAATTGAGCACAATAGAGTTTATCTTTTTGCTTATTACGCCATCGTCGTTGTTTGCGTGTATGTAATGATGGTTCTAAAAAAAGGATGACATATAAATCAAAAAGAAGAAACTAAGTACATGTTGAGATTACCTAATTTATTAACATCATTATCCAGCAATAAGTTGAACAAATTATCAGAATTTTCTTTGTCCATAAAAAAATATAAATGCTGCAAGAAGATCTACAAAATGAAATAAAGAGAAAGACATTGATTAGTAGAACATCGAAATACGTTCAATAAAAGTGTAATTCTTTGGAAAAAAATCGCTATTGTATATTCCATTGTTATTTTATATCCAATCGAAACAAAGAGCTATCAGGTGTCGTTCGAATAAAATGACCGTTCTAGGAAGTGCATACTTAAAGTGAAATTATACTATAGTTTTCACATCAATAAAATGAACAAATAATATTCCAACGTTTCTTTTATATATTCGAATACACAAAGACATCACGTGCCTTTTTTTCTTAGAAAGCTGATAAGAATCTTCTCTGAATATCAAGAAATTTAAAATATCTTATATTTCTTTCCAGCTTCTGTTTTTTCATGATATTCTGATAAGATGCTTGTGATCTTGAATAGCAGACAAGATTCTTTTCAAAAGGAAAGAAAAAGATTCTTGTCTGAACTTAAAATATATCTTGACTATCTTATGATTCTTGCATGATTCTTTTATTTCTGATTAATCAGGCAAGATTCTGGTCATCTTGAGTTCCAGGGAAGATTCTTTTTACTTTCCTGTGGAAAAGAATCTTGCCTGAATACAGAAATCTTGTCTGAAAGTCAAGAAAAACAAGAATCTGGAAAGAACGAGGCAAGATCGTCGATTAGTGTAAAAGATTGTCTTATCCATCTATGATTATAAGACAAACGGTCAACTTTTGTATGTAATATATATCTACTGAACTGTTGTGGATGAAATGGTTAGTCTTTCTGGTCTATCTATTGAAATTTTATTGATTATTTTGAAGAAACTTCGCAATATCGATATTCTATGTGCCTTCGAGATGTTGATCTTTCGGTGATGTCATCAAATAGACCCAATCATTCAATAAAGAATGCAATGTTCAATCGATTTTTGTATAAGCGCATTATCTCGAAGTTGAAAACAAAGACGAGTTTCTGACTATTGAAGGTTGCTCTTTGCAACTTTTTTAATGATGATTATAGTCAAAAGCATATTTACTCTTGTCAGTCTCAAACTTAACTTCTCATCTCTTCAACGCTGTATTTCAATGCTGAAGAAGCAGAGAAACTATTTCTTTTCGCTATTTATGTATTTTTTTTTAGAAAAAATCCTTTTTATTGACTTATTATCAGAGAGAAGCTATCAGCTCCACTCATAAAGATTTCGAATCGTATTTCAAATTCAGCGGCCATTGCTCATTTAAATAGTAAAATCTATCATTTTGATGATTATCTTTGTCTACTTTGAAAATTGTCAATAGTACGGTAAACAGTTTATATTTAATAGCATATACCTTTCTATGTTCATTTGAGACGAATTAAATAAACATATGTGGAAAATATTCTATAAACTAAAGATTACATCAAAATTGGTAAAAACTAATGATTATTGTTAAGTTTTGTGTTTCTTTTATTAAATCTTTAACTAGGATTCATTGCAAACAACTGTTTATGATCGAGTTCTGCTGGAAATTCATTTTGCCTTTTTTTGTTGCAAATAGAAGCTGATTATTAGTAAATACTTTATTCTTTCAACAGCCGATCATGAATTTATTTCATTACCTTTCTTTTACTTTTAATTGTCTAAATAGTTTAATATACTTTAGAAGTACAGTACATTGTTCCTGTTCACAACTGTGTTGCCTTTTGAAATTTTTGCTTTGTATCGTCCATTCTTATGTTACTAGACCATTTTCTACATGAAACAATCAGATAACCATTGCAGATATTATGACTGAGGAATTTCCTCTAAAAAAGAAGTACTGAGGATGTGAAATGACAATAAAAGAATGCGTTGAGTTAGAACTGAAACTGATACTATGTTAGTATATAATATAAGATTAATTATTTTTCAAATTGGACTCCAAATTACCAAAGCCACTTTTAAATAACTTGAATACATTTATGAAATAGTACACACTTGTGAGTGTGAATAATTTAAGTTTGCATTAGAGTTAGTATTACTTGGTTCTTCTAAGTTATCTGATAGTAATGATAGAGAATAATTTATCAATGGTTCAAACTGTCTTTGAAAACTATCAAAATTGATTTGTTCACTGTACGGATGTTGCTCGAGTATTGTTGGGTTATTATTATTGTTGTTGTTTACCGTATCATCTTTATCAAACAGATCCGAAAGAATATTCGCGTTGTTAGCCGGTGCTAATGATAGCATTGCAAGCGTAGATGCTACTGAAGAACCTGTGAAAAACTCTAGAGAATTATGGTCACTTTGCAGGTTTTGATTGACAGTTGTTCTTTGATATTCTACATTAGTGTTTGAGGCTGATGCCGAATTCATTATTGACCCCCTATTTAAACAGAGATCATACACCAGTTTAATCATTTTAGATGCCATAAAAAGATGATTGACGAAGCTCAATACTGTTTGCTTTGTTGTTGTTATCGAATTATCACTGAAAACTGGTTCATAAACGCATTGGTCATTGTAATCTAGTATCAGTTTCATATATTGAGACCAATTTGTTTGTTGTTCATTTTCACTCATTCCAAGTATATATATGATAAAGAGACCATCCATGTATTGCATAAATTCTTCATCGAAAAGTGCCGATGTTGAAGTGGATGAAGTCGAGTTTACTAAATTAAGAAAAAAGGAATAATGTCATAATCATCGAAAAATACAGATTCGTTGCTAAATAATTCTTAGATAGAAAAACATCCTTATAACATCGATTTTTTATCAAAGCTGACGGTTTGAACCAATTTCTCTCCATTTAACGATTTTTTACAATTTTACTTCTAAAAAAAGTAACTTTAGTCTTGAAAATATCGCTAGCAATTCAAAAAATCTTAATAATATGGGCGGTACCGCTGTAAAAGAGAAAAGTCATCATGATCATCATAGTACATTGACTGTGTCCAAAACAGTATTGGCGTTTCTTTTTTGTAGTTGTACAAAAAAAAACTAAGTAAGAGAATCGCGGTCAATCAAATGATTAACTATTGGTTCAGAAACGGTTTCTTTCTGTAGAGATCCGCAAAGTGGTACCACGACGAATACTTTGATCAAGAACAACACTCGATATTAATTGAACGAAGATGATGAATGTACAAGTCCACTATTTTGATCAACAGTTCTTAAATAACTTTTATAGGTGCTTCAGTTACTGAATCGATAGAGTGCATGCTTTGCTATATTGTACTTTAACCATTGGTTTGATTGTGTGTTTTCTACTGTTGTTTTTCTCTCTTGTGAGCAAGAACTATTGCTGTCATAGGATTTCTGCATATTCACAAAGAACACGATTATTATTCAGAGTCTCATATAAATCTAAAAATCATTACTTAATTTTGTAAATGTCTTCTCATTGTAACTAAAACATTCGAAGGTGAAAAGCTATTTACTTTTGGTGTGGAAATTAAGAGAAAATTTATTTTACTCATCGTTAGTTCTGCTATATTGTTAATGGGGTCTAAGTATTTTTTTAAAATTGATTGAAATATGATAGACAACTCTATCTGTTACCATGGATAGCAAAACGAAGGCCATTGGTTCATCTTACTCATGGAGAGTTCAATGAACTATCAATTTTGGTCGATTATGATCGAAAAAATGATGAAGACAGAAACTCCTACAGATGCAGATTCAGTTATCAGCAACAAGTCCAAAACCTCGAAAAAGAAAGGAGAACAACTTACGATCATGATGAATTTCCTGGCTGTTTTTGACACTTTTGTAGTAAAAGAATTGAATGCTATCAAGAAACTTTACTTGATTCCATAGATTTTTAGTATATTGTCCAGTTCTGCCGTTATCTTTATCTTTGTATGTCTATTTACTATACTTATATTCAAGAAAATAGACTTCTGGAAACATGTAGCGTTTGTTCATCATTTAAGAAATTCTCTCCATCTTTTTCAATATGTGGTTTTTCATACAAATTCATGTGTTTTTTTGTACGTACCCCAGCGGAAAAACCACTAGATTTAGATTGCGTCAGTTTGAAAATAAGTGAGAGTCGTTTTCGAGATAGAAAAGTTAAATAATTGACTGTCTTTGAAATTCAACTCCGATCTTCTCAGGTACTACTTCCCCAGCTTTAAGAAGAGCGTTATTTCTCTCTTATGTTCTTCCTTTGTTTACTTGGTTGTTTTCCCTCTTTCCACTTTTTACAATTAAGCAACAATAAGATTTAAACCATTTTTATTATACGTGTTTAAAAAGAGTGTTGTTTTGCATGCAATGGCATGATCACTTTTTTTCTTACGCATTGAATGAAATATCGTTAGAAGATAGATGTTTAAGATATTGGAATAAATATTTATTAGCGTTATCAGATACGATAGACGGAGAATTAATGTTCGAGCAGGCCAATTTTAATGTGTTCAGAAAAGCTTGGCTGCAAGGTNAAAAAATAGGGCGCCCATAGAAAAAAGTTTAAAGAACATTATGTTCGAAATTAGAGAGATTCTTATTCTTGCGATTGATTATCCTGCAAAACGACTTTAGTCTAGGAGAGATTTTTCAGTTTACGTATTTTATATTAGTTGAATGAGGCTAGAGAGCATATGTGAGTTCCACATTTCAGCCCCAAAGAGGCTGCGCTAACAAGCTTTTTTTGGTAAATACCACGTTCATCATTTTATTCTTCATGTGTAGAAGTGTAAATTCAGTTATTCTATTTATTGAAAGTATCGTCAATCTAGACGCACTTCTTCACAGAAAACAAGATCTATGATTTTGAAGCCAATCATTTTTTATACGATTGCTTCCTAACCCAGATCTTCTTTAATATGCGATGAATTGTACCATGTGGTGTTCTCTAATTTACAAACTAGATTGAAGTCAGTTTGCACCAGTGTTCGACTCGGGTCGGATCGGGTCACTAACAGTTGACAGATTTTGAACTTTTTATAAGACAAACGGGAATTTCAGATGAGATAATGGTTTCTTTGCTTCGAATATTGAGAGAGGTTATATAGATACAATGAAAAGATTGCTA